TTCCCTAATAAGTTATTTCTGTTTAAATTGTTGATTATAGTTAATGATAGCTAAACCTCATAAGGAACTGGTATCTCCATTATGAAATAGTAGATTTTTATAGCATTACTTAGCAAAGAAGCCAGTTATTAGGAGCCAATAATAATTAATTTTTAGGTAGCTTACAAAACAATTTATTTCTGTTGCCTCTTTATTTTCCCTATATGGCCTCTGAAAATCCTATATTTTAATAAATAAAACCCAAATTCCTCTTTCACAGACTGTTTCCGAACTCAGAATCTAAGAAGTTTTACCACCCAATGACAAGCAGACTTAGTAAAGTACATACACACAAAGTACATACAAAGAGTCAAGACTCTCATCAAAGCAGATGACAGTCATCAGCCTGCTCCTTGTAGAGGAAGGGAGGTTTACTTGCATCCAACACCTAAACAGAGGTAGGGAGGCTTTATGCCACTTCGGTTAATCTGTTATATTTGTCCTCATACCTGTGGCAGCAAAAAATGCTGCTATAGTTCTTGCTTTCATAATCTAAAATCAAATTAGATCCACTATTAGAGAGCTATCTTAATCTGCAAATCACTTTGACTTTATAATAACTTAATAACCTATGTTCACATGCCTGCATCAGTCTCATACATTTCGATTTTGTTTTTAGTAGTTAGAGCATAGTTTCTGTGTACTTTACCTCTGTCTTGAGGTTACAAAGATAATCCATGGAAGGCATTGAAAAAAAGCCAAGAAAAAGAAGTTTATCCTTCAGGGAAATTTCTCAAAAATTCAAAAAAAAAAAAACGTGTGTCTTGCACCAAGATGAAAAGAAAACAAAACCTATCTGGTTTTTTTGTTTTTGTTTTTTGGGTTTTTTTTTTTTTTTGAGAAAGCAGACCGTCTTAAAGAGGCAAATAGCCCAGTCCTTAGCAAATTCATTGAGGAAGTAAGGCTATGTCTATGTTGACCATACGATGGCCAAGTTGGGAGAATGCATGGAAGTCTGAGAATAGATCTCCCAAGTAAAAGGTCAGAGGGTCTATAAGTCACATCTGCTCATGGAGCTGAGGGCATGAAGAACCTGGGATGTCTCACCTGTTCAATCTCACAGGACATGGCCACACAGGAAGGTGGTATTCAGCACAACTTGCTGTCTCATTCAGATCCATGCTAAAGGGCTTCAAATTCTTCTGTGAGTGCACGTCAAGGATTGCTTCAAGCCCAGTCCAAACTGAGGTTTGTGTCCACCTAGTGAGGAAGGCTGATGAGCCCTTCCTCAGACATTGGCCCATGTTCATGCTTGATGTATTGTAAATATAGTCTAAGAAACGAGGTCCTGGTTTGTGCCTCATTCTAAGCCAGGAGTTGAACCTGTAGTCTTTCTCATCTGCTGAGTGCCCTGGCCCTTCCAGAGAAGAAATTTCCCATTCCATAGGGAAATGCCTGCTGGCTCTGGCACAGGTCACAGCCAGAGCTCCGCTGAGTGGCCTGAAATTACCAGCATTACCAATTCAACTGGCCCAAATCGGTTTCTAGTAGAAATTATGTTTTTGTTACACCTACCATTAAGATATAAATACAAGGAATGCCTATTAACCATGTTAAACCCAACATTTTCTGAACCATTCATGAATTTATCCACTGCTGTTTAGGGAGGAGCAACATCTGACTCCTAAATCCTGATTTGCAGAGGTAAACCTGACTCACAACTTTATTTTTTTAAATTCTGTCTTCAAAGCAAAGTACAGTTCTTTTCTTAGTTTTTTTTCTCCCCTGAAGTATCAGATAATCAATATATTTGACATATAAAGCAGGAAGACTGACATACCTTTGCAGTGAAAGGGTACTGAAGAGGAGTTGAGTGTGCTGTTAGGTTCCCAATCCAGTAAACTGGAAGATATGTTGTAAGAAGAGCATTTCTAGAGCTTTGTGTAGTTGCTCTGAGTACATTATTAGTCAATCTTTTTAGCTGAAGTACAGGATATTTTGATCCTTTGTAAATATATATCTGTCCTTAGAAGATAAAAAGTCTCTTGATGCGTAACACCTTGATAAAAAGTGGATGACAAGTAACAGATTTTATTTATAAAGAAGCATTTTAAGTTACTTTGGTTAATGCTTTAATTCTAGTTCTTTTTCCTGTTGACCTAGACATTCTCTTTTACTAAAGTTTAACATTAATAGCCAGGAGGATTAATGGTGTTTAAATGCAGCAAAGATGTTTAGAACTTTGTATGATTTAGGTAGCAGAATTACAGACAAAGTCTCTGCTTGTGTAAAGGCTTTTGACTGCAAGAGAACTGCGGTGCTTTATAAAGAGAGAGATTTTGATCCTGGGGAATGGATTTGTGAGTCTCATACAAATTATTGTCTTTAGTGTCCTAATTGATTCCATCTGTAGTTTTACACCCTGTCCTTTTTTCTTCCTTTTTCCTTTGTAGTCAGAGCTACCTTCAAACTGCAAGTGATGTGCCTGGGGGTCACAACCTGGATCCCTCCGCAAACTACAATTCCCCAAAGTTTCGCTCAAGGAATCAGAGCTATATGAGAGCAGTGAGCACGCTCAGTCAGGCCAGCTGTGTTAGTCAGGTGGGAAATTCTTGTTATAACTTTTCTTATAGCTTAATCAGGGAAACAAGAGTTGTTATTAATGGATGCTATTAGGGTTTTTTTTTTAACCCAATATCAAACTGAAGATGTGAATTGTCAGAGTAATTCAGTTCTAAGGAACGTAAACCTTGTTAATAATTTCAAGAATAACATTGAATGTTAGAGGTAAGGAGACACCATCAGACAAAATATTTTGCTTTTTTTCATAAAATGTAAATATTGGTATTTTCATTTTCAGTCTGTATTAAATATTTAAATGATTAGATGACACAGATTGAGCATAAAGTACACACTCGTAAGATATAGATTAAAATACTTATGCTCTTAGAAAGCAGAGATTCATCTCTGAACTGAGTCTCTTACTCTTCTTGGGTAAAAGAATAAGTCCCATCAGATAATCGATGTATGGGGACTTCTGAAAAGAGACATTTTCTTTCCCGTTGATTTTATGTTGGTTAGTTAGTACTAATTCATGCTGAAATGAGTTCTGAAGCAGGCCTGAAGTGCAAACAGCTATATGAGCTATATGGATGTTCTGCCAGCAGCGGACTTTACACAAAATTTCCAGCGTTTCTAATGTTCATTGCACATGACATTCCTTCTCTGTATTGCTTTATGACGGCTGAACCTGCCATCTTCCCAGACATCTGCACTTCATTTTTCTTTATGCATTTAGTGAGGCACCTAAAGGTATAATAGCTAATTATGAACAATGCATATATTGACAAATGCTTTTAATTATTTTTGTATTCATGCACATTCAATTTGTTTTGCACGACTATTCAGGCCTGAATTCAGCTCATCTAACTTGAGGCTCTTAACTGAGGCAAATAAGCAGAGAGGAAATCAGTTTCCTAAAGCTTCCTCTGTAGTTAATGGAGAGAAATAGTTTCTTCTCGGACAACGGACGTTGTAAGGGGGCTGAATAGCCTTCTGGACGTGCATGTCAATCTCCCCTGTCACTTGAGAGCTGGGAGGGACTAGTCTCCTAATAAAGGCCATTCAGTCAAGTTCTTTAATTTATGTGGCATGAAACTAACTATAATCTTGTATAGCACGTGTCAGAATTGGAAAAAGTCGGTCAGTCATTTTCCAAACCTTTTCTTATTTTGCATAGCTCCCCGGTAAAACCTATTATTCACATCATTTTCTTACCTTTACTTTCATTATCCTGATTTGAATATCTCTGTTTGTATTACCCTCAATTTTTAGGAAAATTTGACAAGAATTAGATCCTGCTTTCAAAGCAAATGTTCTTGGTTGTCACCTTATATAATGCTATTATATAGAATTACTCTTAACACCTTCTGCTTTTTTGATGATCTCTGTTCATAGAGATGTCCACTGAGCGGTCCATAATGCCTAATTGGTTTCAGCAGTGGTTCAAATTCTTCATTCCAGTGTGTCTTACCTGGAAGGACGTCCACAATGGATTTCATTTGCAGTTGTATTGCTCAGTTGGCCAGTGTCCTACTGGATTAAGTCCTACAGGATACTCTTTCTTACCTTATTTTTCAGTCTTGACTGACCTACATAATTTTGTGTCAGCCACATGTTTTCTACCTTACTGTTCAGCTGTTTCCAAATCAGTAATAAATATATTAATAGATAGTGTATAAAGTAAATGCATTAAAATAACAAGTTCTGAACCTTTGCTATTTCCTGTTCTTTTTCCATGACACCATCATCTTCTTGTCGCATTTATATAATAGCAGTTTGTGTGGTTTTGGTTATTTTTAAGTGCCTTTTTTCGTTAGTTCCTTTCCCTTTCACTCCTAATCGGGGGTACAGACAAGGATGGTGATGGATTCCACAACTTGTATTTCTAAGTGAAGTTTTAAAACTTTTATTTTTCTACTGCTGATGAGCATATTTTGAAAGAATTGGTTAGGACTTACAGTGTTTAGGGACTACATTACCGTAAATTTCTTGATCAGTGATATATGCAAAATATTTCAGAGTAAGAGCTTTTTTAATCTTTTTGAGATTGCATTAGTCTATTTAACTATATTAGAAGTAAATTTTATGAAGGATAATGTAATTCCTTTCAGGATGGATTTAGTAGCCAAAATGTCTTACATAAAATTAAAATAACAGTTATTCATTATCATCAGAAGTTCTGTATGAAATTCCCATTTACTTAATCAAAAACCTGAAACATGTGAAACATTTGCAGTCATTCTGTTTCCATAATGAATAATGTACTAGGAATAGTAAAAATGAATAATGTACTTAGCAGCAATATATGAAAAGTAATATCAAGTAGACGTGCTGTTTAGTGACGTTAGGAATTTAACTTAATGTTTATACTGATTCTGAATTCTAGCACTCTCTTTTTAAGAATTACTCCCAGGAAGACACATCAGAAGGTCTTCTGTTTGTCTATGCAGTATTTAGCTTCCCATCTGGCTTTGTATAAAGCCTATTTTGAGTTAATCGGACACATTCCAGAGACAATTAGGGCCAGCTTCAGTGAAACAGTTAAAACAAATGTTTTGAGTAGAGTTCAGGCTCTCATGTTCAAAATTGCAATATGCAGTTTCCCACTGAGAGGTTTCCTAACCCTGTGCCACCTGCCTAATCCCTGTTTAGCATGAAAGCTATCTAAACATTTACAGTTTTGCATCTTGCCCAACCTGCAGACTCAGCAGGTAGATGCAGGCGCCTGGCCAAGCGCTCCAGGAAGCTGGAGATTAGAACTGAGGGCCCAGCCTGGTGCGTGCTCTCACTGCTCATCTCGCACGCTCTGACAGAGAGGGTTCCTCAGCCACCATAGTGGGAGAAGTTTCGTACTTAAAATAATGCTGCTGAGGACAAGGCAGCTGTAGTGGCTGCATCTAGCTTTTACACAGTAGTTGAATGGCTAACGTAGTCATCCAGGAGGCAAGAGTTTGATTTAGGGCCCTTTGCAGCCACATGTGGTTCAAGCATTCCTTTCTCCTCTGGCCACTTCTTAAAAAGAAAAAATAGCGTTCTTTGCACGGTTTTTCACCTCTATTTCAAAGAACACTTGTCAGCACTTATGTAATACAAGAAATTCCAGGTATATGCGTTCAGCCTAAATTTAGGGACGTAACTTCCCAGAGGTGCAGGGGCATCAGGAAAGTGACAGGGCTTTGCATTTGCTATTGACTAGCCTTATGTCCAAAATGCCTTTTCTGAGTAGTTTGCTGGAGGCAAGTAACCCCTTCTCACGCATTACGTAATGAGGTGCCTAGTTCCTTTTCCAGTGCAGATGTCTCAAAGGCTGTCCGTCCAGTGCTTCACTGGACATAGCGTTAGACGTAACATTTCTCAAACTCTTTAGAAGCATGACATCCTTTGAACTCACACATTCTCAAGTATGAGATACTTCCAGGAGCTCCCTTACTGTGAGGGGAAGAGAACAGCCTAAACACAGGCTCAGTGTCCATATGAGTAGTAACTTTGCTGATAAGTGGGGACTCTAGGCAACCCACCCTCACCTTTTGAGGACCTAAGATTAGCTTAACTGATGTCTATTCTCCAGTTCTGGCAGAGCACAGATTTCTATCAGTGCAGAGTGGTCTTAGATTTGTTCATTACCATAAAATCGTGTATTTAATGCCTGAATATGCCAAAAAATATTAAAAGTAAAATTAATTTTATGGCAAGTATGATTTACTTACTATTTACATATAAACAACTGATGTAAGTTAAAAAAATGTGAATGTGATCAGAAGGGATTACTAAATTTTAACTATTTGCTAAAACAGTTCTTCATCAATGTACAGGTGTCCATTTGAGATGTTGAGGCCGTGATGATCACAAAAAAGCAAGTCAAAAATCAAATGCATTGTTGTTGTTTATTCAGATGAGTGAAGCAGAGGTTAATGGGCAATTTGAATCGGTGTGTGAATCAGTGTTTAGTGAAGTTGAAGCTCAGGCAATGGATGCCCTTGACCTCCCTGGATGTTTCCGAACAAGAAGCCACAGTTACTTGCGTGCCATTCAGGCAGGCTATTCCCAAGATGATGAATGTATTCCTGCGATGGCATCTTCCAACATCACCTCAACTATCAGGTCAACCACAGGTAAGGAAATCTACACCGACCTCTTCACTGTTGTGCATGTAAAAATATCTACTCTCATTTCGCAACAGGATATATGACACTGGAAATGATTTCCCTCTGTAGTGATAATATCTGATACCAGTATTCTTAGGTCTTTAACACTGTACAGTTGTGGCTGCAGCTTGAAATAAGGTCTTTGTGGAGAGAATCATGTGAGAGAATCATGTGAGCATAAATAACACCTCTGGATTTCACCATGGCTTTGATCTGACCTTTTTTTATACAGGTACAAAAATAATGCAAGTACAAATGGTGTAATTTAGATATTGTTAGACAGTTAGATATTATTGTTTATGAAGAAACTGATCTTCTAAATGAGATCAATTGCGCTGGCCTTAATTCAGATCCTTAAAATATCAGAAGGAAAAGAGAAGCAATATTTTAAATATTTGGTCTAAACACTTACAGGGAATTAACTTAATCGAATTAATTACTTACTTTTAGAAAAAGTATAACCAGTTGTATTGATACACTGAATCATAAACACTATGGCAGCCTTCACATATGTTCGTTATTACTCATCAGTAATCAACAGCATTCATTCATTCTTGGGATCTTTTAACATTCTTATAACTAATTTATTTTCTCTTATTAGTTACTTAATAAAGATGTTAATTTTATCAATTTTAGAATATTAGCATTTAGTATTGGTAGACAGAGGCTGTACAGATAGCAGTCTAAAAAATGGAATCTATAACAAATATAGATTCTTTACTAAGTGATCGAAGTACACTTTTATGTTTCCAAATATATTATGTCATTTCCCAAGTATGATCTTGTCCTTGCCACATACTGTTAAATTGCAGTGCAGGTTCCCCCTTTACAGAATGTAAAAATACAGCTCAAAATGTAACATATAAAAATACTTTTAAAATTATTTGCTTGACATCTGTTGTGTAACAGAACAGTGGGAGCTTAGAAAGTTAGAAGCTGAATAACATAAATATGTGCTTCTAGAAGTAGCATGAAATGCTATTTCATCTTAAGCATAATATTTTAATTGCTATAGATAACTTTAGTATAAAACTGGGAGCTGGAGCTTCCTTTAACATCCCTGTCCCTTGTTTAACAGAGATGCTATCATGATATAAAATGGGATTTCAGTGCTGCCTCGGGGACTAACTTTTCCTGTTTGTCATATAATATATAAATATTAGGAAGAAATCTTCCACAGTCAAAGAAAATGTTAAATATCTGTTTTCATGCCTGACTCCAGGTACTGAATTAGAACACTTTCAGAATTAATTTGGTAACCGACTTGATTGATTTTCACCTAAGTTGTTATGAATTTATATGCCAGGTAAGCCCAAACATCTCATCTGAAAGGAAATCACTTTATTTTCTTTGGAGTCACAAAGCTGAATAAAATATGATATGTTTGGGAAAATAACTAGATTAGGCAGTAAATATGTTTGCATCCCAATGTTTTCATACTTATGAGAAACATTTTGGATTGATTAGCAGTCTGCTGGTTAAATAAAGCAGTTTTGAAAACTCTAACCTTCGTTTCACACATGGTTTCTTTCTCATCTCTGAAATGATTTATCAGATAGGCTTTATTGCCTACATATGTAATCTTTCTCTTTTGTTGTTTGGTGATATTGACATTGTGAAGAAAAAAAGATCTCAGAAAAAATTCCAATTCCAAGCCTATGGACTATATGCAGTTCTGAATGTGGTTCTGTATTCAAATTATTATCCCTGTGCCACTGAACAAGTTTGTCCTCAGCTTCTATGCAAGACAAATATTCAAGTTAGAAATACTTATCTAATTTACAAGAAGAGTAAGAATTATGTGATTCATTTTAATTGAAATTTTTATTTGCCAAATAAGCTATTGTTTATAAAACCACAGGGTAACTCCTCCATATTTGTCTCCAGCATTAGTCACATGCGGGAGATGCTTCTTTTCCTATTCTTTCCTATTATTACTATAGTTCAAAAAATCTCTTAATCCTCTGACCTTGTCTGTAAAAGAAGCAGTTGCCTGAAATACAAAAATGATATTGGCAGGTATTGGATATGTTTATAGGCTTCATCCAAATAAATGTCACAAAGGTCAAAGTTTCACATCAACCTTTGGTTCCAATTCAATCTTTGGAATTCCTAGGAGAATTACATTAGATTAATTCCTTTTTTCCTTCTGATGTTACAAACTCTTGGCAAAGAAACTAAAGCAATTTCTTAGAAAATTAACAGGCATTGCAATTCAATTATTTCTTGAAATTTTAGTGATATAGGTCATGACTGCCTCTTATCAGTGTTGTAAAGCAATTAAATCATAACACACAGGCTCAGCTAAAAATTCAATCATGTAACTAAAAATGTAAACTCGAAACAAAAAATGTAATATTTGATCTATGCATTCAATTATGAAACTGTGGAATATGTATTTACAACGTGCAATTTCCTACAATGTGCCTAGGCTCATGAGCAGCTTTCAGCTTGTAGGAAGGTTGTAACTGTAGTGAATATTGTGTGGGACATTATTAACTGACTCTGTTATCAAGGTTTTTCTAATAGATGGAAAAAGAATCACCAATAACTAGCTCTTCTAAAGTATATGCAGCTTTCCAGAGAGAGTCAAATGGTTCCTTCATACGTTCTGTGGTACTAACGAACACATAACTTTTGCACAGACCAATATAGTTTAATTATTTATGGAAGAGGAGTTGCTAGAGACTGTGTGCCAAGATCCAGGGACCTGTTGCCCCAGGAGTAAATGGATGAGACAAGTGACGGCACGCCAGAGGCAGCCTGCACTGCTGGCACTCCAAAAGCTAGGCCTGGACTCCATGTGGCCCCTGCTAAGACTGATATTTCACTCTGATTAGGTCATTTCTATCCATTCTGTTTCATTTTGTAAAGAGATAAGGAACCCAATAAAAAATGCTGCATATTAAAAGTTATAGCCCTGAATGACGGATTAGTTCAACTGTATCCTTTCTGTCTCTACACTGCATCCAGTTGCAGCTGTCAGATTCAAAGCCAGGAAAATACAGCTCCAGCTGCTGCTGCCTCCCACCTTGTCCCTCCATCACAGACAACATGTAATTTCCTGAGTGGGAAGTCACAAAGTGCGGCAGTCATTCTAACTACTACTTCCTTACATCTTTGCTACTCTTGTAAGCAATGTTTCACTTACCCGGAAGAGTCCATAAAGAAAAATTGATTTCTTGGTTTCTTTTTCCAAGTAGTATCAACTTGGTTTCCTACTGCAGAAAGACATATACATGTGTATACACTACAGTGTCAGCTTGCAACGCTTCTGGTCGTGTCTGGGTAGTATAGCAGAGTGCTGCGGGGAAGATACACAAGCTGCCTGGGGCACCAGAGCTGTATCACCAGCTCAATGCATAGTCAGCACGGGCTGCGTAGTCCTGCTGAGAACCAGTGTACCAGGCTGGGGGCAGTGTCACAGTGACACGTTAACCCACTTGCAATACCTAGGATGTCCTGCTAATGGTTAATTCAAATATCCTTGTGCAACACTGGATTGTACCATGAAAACATAACCAACAAGGAGGTCTGGCAGATCTGAACCACTCTCTGTCTTTTTTTGGTTTTCTCCTACAACTGCTGGCTGAAAGCAAAAGGGCTCTGTGAAACTAAATGGCTTTTTCATTTGGGACAGAACCAGAGAAAATAAAAGCAAAAAATGTGATTCAGTCGGAATCAAACAAAAAATTTTTCAGTTTCTGTTAGTGAAATGAAAATCTTAGTAAAAGGAACACTTTGTTTCCATTTTTGGCTTTTGGTGAAAACAAATGAATCAAAGAGCTAATGTGAGCACTGCTGTGCACAAACAATAAGAGGAAAGGAGTTACCCATGACATGGGAAGCTCTGGTTTGGTGCTCCCTTTTCTTAGGAAGGTCAGCTTAGTTTTGTTATATGCCCCTGATGTGGGAAGAATCCTATATATGAAATATTCTGTACATTACAGAATATACTGGGATGTTCCCTTACTGATTTTTCTATTGATATTGCTTGATTTTACCTTGATTGCTGAAATTGAACTAGAATGCGACTGGAGCTAGCAGTTAGGAGTCTGTCGTGAAGTAGAACTTGTTAAAATCCATCTTCTAAGCGAGATAGAGAATAAATTAGAATTTGCATCTTTGGCCGTCCAGTTGATTATCTTATACACCATGTCATTGTATATTAGATGTGGAGGACACACTCAGTTTCTCCTGGTGATATTATTATACTTTGGATAAAACACTTTCATCTTGAAAGTGTTTGACGAAACAACTTGACGAAAACACTCTCGTCCCTCTATTGAGAGACAGACTGCTACTTTAGCCCGCTGCTCAGGACACTCACCTGTCAGGTGGGATATCTGCTCAGTGAATATTGCTTTTATATTCAGAGTGAAACAGCCTCAGTGGAAGAAACTGGAAATATCCTATAATGCAGGATTTGAAGTGCTCCACTGAGAGGCAGGAAATCCTTCTCCCATCCAAAAGAACTAAACATCTGGCCTAAGTTCTCTTGCTTTTTAGGCAAAGGAATAAAAGGGAACATCAACACTAGTTTCTTAAAACTAGTTAATGTTTTTCTCTAACACAAATTATTTAGCTGCAACAAACTCTATACTTTTTGACGATTTGACTAATGACAAAAAAAAATTTTCATGTGGACTGCAGTACGATGGGAATTGTATCACGGTACATAAAAGCATCTTGAATTTCTTCTCCTTACGTTAAATAGTCAGTCCAAGATCACTTGGATCCCCCTTCGGGGATTTCCAACTAATCTTGATAAAAACTTAACATGCAGCACTGCTGATTTCAGAGAATATAGTTGCTAGCTCTAAGTGGCCAGTACACTCCATTACAATGACTTGCTTCTTTTTTCTAGAAAAGGTAGTGTAATGCAAAAGCTTAATATTACTTATATGCAAACACTTTCAGCTAATTCATACTAGGTGGCTCTAGTGCACTAACACTTGCTAAAGAGT